ACAGTTGGATAAGCTGGCAGCTGTGAGAGATTTCTTCAGCGATTTCAATAAAAAATGTCAAGAAATATATTCAGTTAGTGAATATGTTACAATAGATGAAAAGTTGGAGAAATTTCGTGGCCGATGTGCTTTTCGCCAGTATATGCCGAAAAAGCCGGCAAAATATGGAATTAAATTATTTGCCGTAGTCGATGCCAGGACATATTATACATATAATATGGAAATTTATGCGGGGAAACAATCGGATGGTCCTTTCAAAGTTGATTATTCGCCATCTGAGATCGTAAAACGACTTTGTGCTCCATTATTTGGATCTGGGAGGAATATAACCATGGATAATTGGTATACAAGTTACCCGCTAGCAAAAGAGCTCCTATCAAAGAAACTCACTGTAGTGGGAACTTTGAAGAAAAATAAAGCTGTAATTCCTGCTGAATTTTTAGAAACAAAGAAAAGAGAAGTATATTCTTCCATGTTTGGATTCCAAAAAGACATGACATTAGTATCATATGTTCCAAAGAAATCGAAATGTGTAGTTCTTCTGTCTACAATGCATCATGATGACACGATAGATGAAAACTCTGAACAAAGTAAGCCAGAAATAATCCATTTCTACAATGGAACGAAAGGAGGAGTAGATACTGTTGATGAAATGTCTACGCTTTATTCAACAGCTAGGAAAACAAACAGGTGGCCTATGGTGATTTTTTACTGTGTTTTGAACGTGGCTGGTATAAACGCGCGAGTGTCACTTATGTCTACTAAAAATCCTCCCTTGCAGTATAAAAGTAGACGAATGTTTTTGAAAACATTGGCATTATCTCTCGTAAACCCACAAATAAAGAGGAGATCAAATATGCAAAATGTTACCCAGAGAATTACGAGAGAAAATGAATCAGAATTTCTCAACAGAAAGGAATGCCGTTTCTGAAGAGAACTTGCCAAAGAGAATGAAGCTTGGTAAAGGACGATGTACAATATGTCCTCGAGCTAAGGACAAAAAAACAACAATTTCTTGTATGAAATGCCAAAATTTTACTTGCAAGGATCACTCTAATTATGTTTGTGACAAATGTGTTTAAATTTCAATAAAGGTATGTAACTGATTTTTATTTTGTAATTGAGTAAGTTTTTTCCTATAAACATTAGTAGTAGAAATTAACGTAAATATATTTTCAAATTAATATTCATGCTTTAGAATATACTAAAAAACTGTATTTTATACCTTTTCAATTTATTTGCACTTAAGTTTATATGTGTATATTGAATTAAGCTTAAATTTATCGGTGGGGTTATACAGGTACCCGCGCGACCAAAATGTGCTCTGTTTAGCGCGCGCCTTCCACCGGGTTAATATCATAATTTATAATTTTGTATACCGTTTCATAAGTAATGCATATTTGTCATAATTTCAGGTATTTTGTGCCTTACACTTTTTTGTTTGTGTATCATAACAATAGTTCATAGCAAATTAATTTTGTCTGCCATTCACTCAGCCTATTGCTAGCTGAGCAGTTTCTCATATTGTGTGGAAGGGGGCGTCCTTTTTAATTTTTTGTAGTTTATTCTAAATGCCAGTCTCTAGAGCCGTGTTTCTTAACCTTTCTAGCGAGTCGCAAGAATCTGAAAATATATCTCCGCACCCCATTGAAAAATGTGTTTTAATTTTTTTAGTCTAGAAAAATACATTTTTTGTGAAACTTATTGTGTATTGAAAAACACTGTATATTTTATATAAATACAAAACAATATTTTTATTAATGACTAGTCTATTGTTGTTTGTTCATTATTATATTGGCGAAGCGAGGTTCATTTTTTGAAAGACATACGCTTAAGTCATCACTTGCATTTAAGTGATTTCTCGCTTTAGTTTTTATATGCAAAAGCGATGAAAATCCCATTTCGCACAAGTAGGTGGTAGCAAAGGGTAAGAGTAACTGCAGTGCTCCGTTCGCCAACTCTGGATAACGTTGTAACTGTGAACACCAGAATTGTTGCAATTCTAATTGTTCGAATTCCATTTGAACATGTTCACTTGCTCACATTTCAATAAGTTGATCTTTTTTCAGATCACTATCATCCATCAAATTTAAGTCAAATAGAAATGGATCCAGTATCCATCTCTGAGTTTTGGTAATATTTCTGGTAGAAAAGGTGGTATATGTTTGGTGTATTTTAATCATGGCAAAGCACACTAGGGCTATCTGCCTAAGGAGAGGGATGCTTTCGTGGAGAACTTTCAAAGGGAAACTGGCTCGTATACACGTTACACATGGCGAAAACCACGAAAACACCCATGCAGCCAGCTCGTTCGCGGGATTCGAACCGAGCTACCAGTGGTCAGCGGCTTTACCGCTCGGCCGCTGGTAGGTCCTACGGTAGAAAAGTATCCATTGAATGATTCGCTCAATCATCTCAAATATATTACAATGTCGTGTATAATTGTATTCTTTTCATTTTTCGCAATAACAGAATCAAGCAAGGGAAAGTTTGCAAAATTCCCCTTTTCTACTCGACGTATCCAAATTTCTAATTTTGTGATAAATGAAGATAATTTTTCACTAGATGTTACTAGATACCAAATCCTTGTATTGATAGATTCAGTTCATTTAAATGGCTAAATATGTCTGCTAAGTAGGCCAGCCTCAGCATTGCATCATTACTCTCAAAATCTTTTACTAAATAACAGTTTGACTAGTCAGTAATTGAATAATTTCCTCACGCAATTCAAAAACTCTGTTAAGCATGCGACCCTTAGATAACCATCGTATTTCGGTGTAATATAGAAGCACGGTATGATCAGCAAGGATTTCTTCGCAAAATGCACGAAAAATGCGATGATTAAGTGCTCGCCCTCGGATGTATTTTACTACATTTACTGCTGTAGTTAGATGTTGTTTTAAACTTTCTGGCAATGCTTTCGACGCAAGTGCATGATGATGCAACATGCAATGCGTTATTATAACTTCCGGTAATTCTCTTTTCGTATATGAAAAAAAATCCTGAATTTTTGCCTAACATTGCTTTGGCTCCATCAGTACATATTGAGCCAATCACATTCATTGGTAATTGATATTTAGTAAAAAATCTTTGATGCAATTGAAAACATCAATTCCTCTCGTATTCACCTCCAGTGGCTCACAAAATAGAAATTCTTCTATCACCTCTTTTTCCTTCACATACCTGACAAATAGAAAAGTTGGCTACAATTATCAACATCAGTTGACTCATCCAGTTGCATGCTTATTTTTAGTGGACTGATTTTTATGTCTTCAATTACTTGCATTAAAATATCTTCACTGAGATCTTGTATTTATGATCGTATAATATCATTCGATAATGGAATCTGTTGGATTTTTTTTATGTGCTTCCGAATCTAAAACTGTTTTAGCAATAATTAAAGCAGAAGGTTTAATCAACTCTTCAGCGATCGTGTGAGGTTTCTTTTTTTTTTTTTTTCACATAAATATGCCACTTGATATGACGCTTCTAATAAAGGTTTTTGAATTGCTGGTCCTCACAATTTTAGGATAGTTCCACTGGTATCAAACCGAGCCTTCTTTGACTTCAAAACAGCTGTTCATGCTACATGCTTTTTCGCCACCACGCAGATTGTTGAAATGCTGTAATAACTTTGATGGTTTGAGATTGCTGTTTGAAAATATCTTGGAACACAAGATGCATTGCGGTCGTTGCGTGCCATCTTTTTCGGTTGTGCAGGTAAATCCATAACCGGTATACTTATCGTTCCATTGTCGTTTTTTTGACATAGTGGGGTTCACTATAATCGATTTAATTATTTAGAAATAATGTAATATAATATATATGATGTTCTTACATTTGTAATATCACTGAATCCTATTCGGCTTGAAAGGGCAATTAAGAATGTATTAGTCTCAAGAGGTTTCTGGACACGTCAGAATACACAATACACATGTCGCAGACACCATAGTTGACTCAACCTAACACAGGCGCAGTAGATGCAGATACAAATCTGTGAATCCGTAGATTCCATTGGAGTAGCACATATTGAACTCAGCGCATGCGCAAGCTGGGATAACGTTCTCCGCTTGTATTCCCACAAAGTTTTTTTCTTTTCTCCGTCACCTAGCTGCCTGTTCGCGTTCGTTTGTAGCGTTTAATGCCTTTTTGTAGCGTAGTGTATACGCCCATCGGCACCGGCTCTTTCCTGTGTCTTTTGCCGATAAGTGAGCTAGGTGCTACCAATTTTTATGAGCTTCAATATTGGGGACACTATTGCAGATTTCAAATATTTTATTATAAGAACTTTAATAAATGATATTTAATAACTTTTATGGTTAGGTAAGGGCTTCTCCCGCACCCCCAAAAATACATTCCCCCACCCCCAGTTAAGAACCACTGCTCTAGAGTAAAGTACCTAATATTGCAATATTGTTACAAACATTTTCCACAATTTCTGTAAACACTGCTGGTTGTGAGGAAAATTTTCTAATTAAAGGTCATTTAGAAAGTATTTTATAATAATGAATGTTTATTTTGTGCTTAAGAAGTATTTAAGAACTATTATTGTTTATGCATTTAAAAAATCTTTATTCCTGTCTACCTACATTACAGATACTGGAACAATCAAGTAGACTTCTACATTGTTTCAAGAGTTTTGACCCTCCCCCCCCAAAAAAAACAAGCAAAATGATGCTATAATTTTAAACTGTTGGAATTAAATTTTCTTCAAAAATAAATGTAAATTTATTTCCCTACATGTCATTTTTACATTTTTTAGTAATTTGTTTGTATATCAAGAGGGGCAGTAAGTTTAGGGAACCACCCCGAGCGGCAAAAGCTCTAGCTACGCCACTCACCTGCCCACAGCAAAATGATGAGAGAAAAATTTTCCTAGATCTTTAGCTGCTGTGCACGATAAATTATGCCATTTGTCTGTACTATGATTGGTATTATGATGGAACAAAAATTTTCAATTTTCACAGCATTTTTTTTTTTTTTTTTTTTTTAAATTTCAGATGAGTTCAGAGTTTTGGAATTATATCCAGACGTTAAAGGAAAAAGGAAAGGTGCTGAAAAAAAATCTTTTTTTAGAGATGCACAGGTAATTTACATAGATGTTTGCCACATTTCAAAAGTTCATCTGAAAATCAAAAGCTTTTTTTACATTATCTGCTATATATGAATTGCACATGTAAAACATTTATAAAGCTTTAAAATATTAATTAAATGGCAGTAATATGCAGTGTTTTCTGGAGTAACTATAATAAGAGATTAAAAAATATAGAATATGTTTAATATATAACAGTGTTTTGACATGTCCAGTATCTTGATTCATTGTTTCTATGTTAGATATTTATTTCTGCAAGTTTTATAAAAACCTCCCATAAATTTTAGGCACAGTGGTCAGGTGTCAAACTACTATAGTGTTAATAGTAGGAGATTCTTTACTTACTGTAAAATGAATCTGGTGAATGTAAAGTTCAAGGGCTGGCTGCATTCCTGTTCAGTGATTATGATGTAGGCGTAATCATTGTTTAACATGATCGCTTTTGTTTTAACATTATTTAGTAAAAATGAATGAAAACCACATTCAGGTATAATTCAAATCATATATTTATATTGAAAGACATAGATGAAGTTTTCATTAAGAAAAGTAAATTGATAATACAAATTTAAACATTTAGTTACTTTAATAAACAAAAGATAACTTTGAAGTTGTACAATACTTTGTTTATTCATTGAAATTTCACAAAGAATTATTTAGTACAAGATCTTTTCATTAAGAGTTTGCAATAAAATTTTCTAATACATAAAAATTTTAAGAACTTTTGACATTTCTGCCTTTCAGTTTTAGAGTCCTTTGAAGAATATGAAGTGTATTTCATGATTTGGAAAATGTTAGTGTACCAGTGCTGTCTATATTGTAATCGCCAACATTTTAAACTTTATAACGTTCTTCCAGCCTTTCTTTAATTATTTCCAAGTAAAAATGCAATATCTTCAGTAGAAACTAATGCTGCATTTAGAATATGATGGAATGATTGCTGAAAGGTAATATCATAAGTAGGACTGGAAAAAGGCAGGCCTTTTTAAATAAAATTCAAACTGGTTTTTATTTAAAAAAATCTGGCTGTTTCTCTTCTTTCTAAAGTTTTACATCATGTGTCAAACTTATTAATACGTAATTGTGAATAATACGTGTAATCAAACAAAAAGTTAATCCAGCCTTAACACGTGGTATTCATTCTGGGAAAAATTCTTGGTATTTTCTAATTATCTGAACACCTACTCCAAGGTCAAAGTCACAAATTCATTGCTGACTTTGGAGAGCATTCACAAAGTTCTTGGCTACTAATTTTTCACCAAGCTAATGTTTGAAAGGCAACATCCATTTTAAAAATGATGGCATACTACAAATTCTCTACAAGAAGTGTTGATCATTAAAATTAAAAAAGCACACAACATCGGTGATAAAACATTTACCTTTTTCAAGAAATCCTCCCTTTCTATGCTCTTATTCTCCCCATTTATGAGCAATATCTTTCTGCTTAAAAGTAATCAAAATTGCACAAATTTAACACCCATGTAGCTTTGGCATTATTGCTGGCTGAAAGAGATGTGATTCTTGCGTACCTGAGTTGCCACATAAATAAATTTTGACAGCAGCATATGTTGTCACATTATTATTTTGGTTACACACTGTTTTGCCTCATGAATGCTTTTTCACAAGTTTTCTACAAAGCTGCACTTAGAATTATTTGCAAATGTAATGTTATTTGTAATATATTGCAAATTGTATTGTAAACAGGTATATGTAATATTGTAAGTAATTTGTAAGCTGTGTATTTCCAGTATGTTAAATATTACATGTGCAGTATAATATTATGAGTTGTTTACAGTTATCAGGGTTTCCACGCTACCTGGAAAACCAGATGGTAAGCTTAGGGAATTCAAAAATTGACTAGAAAAGTCAGTGAATTAAAGTATTTTATTCAAAATCTGGAAATTTCATACGGCGATGTCCCAAAAAAGTTATTTTTACGCCAATGTTGGAAGCAATCGCTTTCTTGATGAATTATCTATCACATAAGCATTATTCGGGCAGCTGGCATAGAGCCAATTTTCTCAGCTCCAATCAAATTGTCTTTTAGAAAGGGCAAAGCAAGTTTCCAACAAATTTGGTTACTAATAATCTTGAGAATCGAGAGATTTGCATGCGCATGTACAGTGCATGTTGAACGAAAGAAAATACCTTCCCATTCTCGTATAAAACAAAATAAGTTTAATCCTAGTACACAGTATAGATGGGATTTGGCAAATTTATGATATGCAGTAAACTATACATTTATGATGAGCAATAAGCGAGTCATTTTGGTGTGTTGGCGACAATTTTCAAAATTGTGGCAAGGCTGTACCATATAGTGGGATTTTATCAGAAAATCTTTTAAACTCTTTTTTCTTTTCAATAAATGCCTATTTGTCATTTTGCAGTAAAATAAAAAAATAGTAATCAGTCATCTAGGCTAACTGTTTAATATAGTTTAATATTCGCCAAAATATCATTCATTTTGGTAATGTAATTCGTATCATTTATTTTTTCTTCTTCCTTCTAAATTTATTTATTGTTAGTTAATATTACTTTGAAATTTCAGGCAATTTTCTCTGGCTTACTCCTGGAACTAATTCTAGCAATACCATCACGAAATTTAATGCATATTTTCTCTTCTTATGCATGCTGCTAAATAAATATAAAATACCTGAATTTATTTAAAAATATCATTAAATAGATTTCTTTCTTTCATTTAGCTGTAAAATATTTGGAAAAAAAAAAAGACATTTTAAAACCCAGATTGGGCAGATTCTAATCTCAATCTTCAGTGGAGAAAACAATTTCTATTATAGTTATAATAGTAATGCTTTGGGAATAAGTCATATGGTATTGCCAAATTTTTGTGTTTTTGAATGGTACCATAATTAATTTACGTCTCAGCATAGCCAACGCGCACTACGCAGATAGACTGGAATTTTCTAAAACACATCTGGAAAAGTCAGGGAATTTCATTCTCCTGTTTGAGTTGCAACCCTGAGTTATGTGCTCAGCATGTCTTACATTCCATATATATAAATAATACTTTATGTACTCAAACTGTCGCTGAATACTGACCGCTACATTCAAGGAAGACTGAGTATATATTTGCATCGTGCTGGGGGGAAAAAGAAATAGATTCTATTTATAACAGTTCCAAATTATGTCTTGCAACAGCTTATCTATTGTAGCTCTTAAATATATGTTGTAAAAGTATGGATGCCTCTTTCCCAACAGTGTAGCTTAATAACTCCATTCATTTAACTGTTCAGGTAGACAACAGCTATTTTGTTGATTGTAAAAGAAAACTTCTTATGTGAATATTCCTTGATCAAGAGCCCACCTACAGAAAGAAGTTTAGGTGAGAAAGAAGTTCACGTTTAGGTGAAATAGCTGTTACCATGCTATAATGGTTGCTTCTGCTTTATTTCTCCTCAAATCAAGTGAACTCATAATGAAAATGCCCTAAAAATTAACACAAGACGAACAGACTTCTGTGCAAGAACTTTCTGGAGGGAAAGAATTACCCCCCAAAAGTTTGCACTGTACATATTGCACATTGCAAATATATATATCTCTAATTGATTTGCAGTTGAGGTTGCAATAAAATAGAAGCCATCCCCACCCCATTAAAGAAAGAGAGAGAACATCAACAACACCGGAAACAGAAATACAATCTCATCTTTCTAGTAGATGCTTTCTAGTAGATGGTTGTTAAATGCTTGCAGAAATCAGAAGTTAGATGATAGTTTTGTGATGTATCAGCAGGTGCTGGCCAATACACAAGAAACACATCTTTTACATAGTGTATCAAAAGTGCTAAAGCATGCATGCAGCTCTGTTGCTAGAGAAAGCAATACTATATCCAGGCAACATTTCAACCTCTTTCTGTTTCATCAGATTTTGGCTTTGAACTCATTGAATAAATTCTAGTGACATTTCAAATGATATAATCAGCGTCTCATTCGGGTAAGCTTGATTTTCCTTTTTCAAGTTTTTCTTCCAAATGGCATGTTTCCCTTCCCCAATGAGAATGTGATTTAACATATATTTCTTGTGAAATTTAATAGGTAGCTCCACCTCGAGAAAAAAGAATGAAAATAGATCAAGACTGGCCCAGTGTTTGGCCAGCGCCACAGACATTTCGACCATCTGTCGTCCCATTACCTGTATATCAAGGGTATGATCAAAAAAGAGCTCCCCCGGGAAAATATGCAAATGCTGAGTTGATGAAAATCCCAAATTTTCTTCATTTGACTCCACCTGCCATAAAGCGGCATTGTGCAGCTATTAAACGTAGGTTTTTTTCCTTAATATTCAGTTTTCCACTTCTACTAGTGTAGAAATTTTTAAAATATTATTTGTCTGTAGAAGTAAGCAATGTGTTACTTAGCATTTTTAAACCAAATTTATTTTTTAAATATTTATGTAGTAGATAAAAAGTTTTTAATTTAGAAATTTCGTGTTTATATTTCTGAATTAATTTAGCATATGAGTTAGTAAGGTAAGAGTAATTGCCTGTCATTTTCTAGAATGTTTTATTCAAATTTATTATTTATTTTGTTTAATCTTTTATTTGAGTAGAATATTATTAAACTGATTGTTCCTCTGTATTATTTCTGTCTTTGAAAGAAAAATTTTGAGAAGTATTTTTGGTGGCATAAAATGTAACAATATCTGGAGAAGAAGAACTAACTATGAACTTTAAAATGCTTTAAAGAAATAGATATAGTAAAATATATAAGGATTCAGAGAATTAAATGGGCAGGACACCTGTGCAGAATGGATGGAAATCGAGTAACTAAAAAGATCTTCTCGGCCAGACCATTTGGCACCAGAGGAGACCTGAACTTAGGTGGCTCGACTGTTTGGAAACAGACTTAAGAATTTTAAAAATAACCAATTGGATGTCCATGGCCAGGGATAGAAGAGCTTGGAATTCAATTCTGAGGAAGGCAAGGATCCATCCTGGGCTGTCTGGCCATTGAAGAAGAAGAAGAAGATTATTCCTCTTTCCTTTCAAAATGAAATATATTTTAATGTCTAACACAGTTTCATGTTGTGTCCTTTGGAAGTGATTAGATAAGCAAGTTAATATTTTTAGTCTAAATCAGCAGTTTGAGTTAATATTACAATATACGTATTTGTTTATATTTCTTGTCCAACCTTAATGTTTTTCCAACAGCAGATATGGCGAGCCTAGTTGACATAATGTGAGAGAATATGATAAGAATCCTTGAAATTTTGCAAAAAATTGTTAGAAAGAATGAATATGAATGCTGGAATGTTATTTTACAACATTTATAAATTTCTTTTACTTTTACATATGATTAAATGGAAGGAATGTGAAAGTAAATGTGGAAAAATTATAAGGGATTTTAAGTACATTGCCTAATATATACTGGAGAAATTTTATAATTATGTACTGCCTTGACAGAATATATATTCAAAACTAAATTCATCAGTTCAGCTTAAGTCTCCTGGTTCACATGCACTAATTCTTCTGAAAAATCTGCTAAAAACGTATGTACAGAAGCAAATAATGCTAACAATAGTCCCTATTTCCTTGTTGTCTTTAGTCCTGGCGAGCTGTAAAAGATGTCTCCTTTTGTGATAAATAAATACATCCAAAGAGCCAAAGCAAATGCACGAAAAGTAAGAAGACAGAGCCAGAGGGATTCCTGGATTTCATATGTGTCATCAATAATATCCTCTACGCTTAGTAAGCGGGTTTGGGAAAAAGTTAGAAAAGCATGCGGAATATATAAAGACCACTCACTTTCCTTTTTGGAAATGGCCGAGTGATTAGCTCCATAGAAGACATTTTAATACTATTGGTGAGACATTTGCTGCTGTTTCTTCTAGCAGATACTATTCACCTGCATTTCTCTCTATCAAGCAGCGCTCTGAAAGAAATCCCATCGCATTCAACTCTTTCAGCTCTGAGCCTTATAATAGAGATTTTACTATGCTTGGAGCTTTCTTGTCTTCTCCGCATCTTGATGGCGTGAATTATGAAATGCTGAAGCATCTATCTTATAAGTCACTGACTGCCCTTCTCACACTTTACAATAGTGTGTGGAAGGAGTGAACTTTTATCAGTGCATGTAGGAGAGCTGTTGTGATTCCTATTACTAAGCCAGGAAAAGATCCAAGGAATCCCACCAGCTATGACCAGTTGCCCTTACGAGTTGTGTATGCAAGCTGTTTGAAAAAATGGTAAACAGCCGCCTAGTCTACTTCTTGGAAAAGAATATTATATCACCTTATCAAAGTGGTTTTTGAAAGGGGGAGAACAATCATAGATAATATGCTCCTTTTAGAGACATCCATATTAAAAGCTTTAAGAAGAAATCACCTTGTCTCACTATGAGAAAGCTTATGATAAGGCATGGAGATACGATATACTTCGGGATCTTCATGACAGTGGCTTGCACGGCAACTTACCAATTTTCATTCAGAATTTCTTGAACACTAGAACTTTTCAAGTAAGGATTGGCTCTGTTTTGTCTGAGTTTTTTTTAACAGGAAGAGGGTGTGCCTGAAGGCTGTGCGCCTTTTCATCTTAAAAATAAACTCTGTATTAAAAGAACTTCCTCCCACCATCTTGGGATCTTTATGTGTTGACGATCTACAGATTAGCTGTCGAAGAAACAGCATGAGATACGTAGAGAGGCAATTGCAGATCACTTTAAATAAGATCCAAGAATGGTCAGACTACATTTTCGAAACAGAAAACTTTGTATATGCACAGGAAGCGAGGTCTCCATCCTGAGCCTGAATTATATCTGAATGGTACAATTGTTCTAGTTGCACCTGAAGTAAAATTTTTAGGAGTGATTTGTTCAACCGAAAATTGACTTTCCTTTTTCATGTCTTAAACCTGAGAAAGAAGTGTTTGAAAACACTAAATATTTTATAAGTCTTGGCAAAAACCTCTTGGTGTGCAGAGCATTGCTCTGTGCTTCGCATTTACAGAGCGCTTGTCTGCTCTAGACTGGACTATGGCTCAGTTGTTTACAGATGCCCTCGATCTTCAGTGTTGTTAAAGCTATATCCTGTTCACCATCAAGCTCTGCAGATTTGTTCTGTTGCTTTCAGGACATCTCCCGTCCAGAGCCTGTATGTTGACTGAACAATATTTTGACTCTAATATTTTTGTTTATATTTTTTTTTCTAACTGCAGCTTCTGAGTAATATTGCACGAGCTTCAAGCAGATGTATACGTTTTCTTACTCTATAGATTTTTTTATTCATTATCTATTCATATATTATTATTATCTATGTTTTGTAACAGTTTATGTTTCAGAGAATGGCAACGTACTATGTTGTTCTTCTTTTTAGAGAGTTAGTGTAACTTTTGTTTTCATCATTTGAGAGTATGAGTAAAGGAATTATTTAATTATTGTAGAGTCATAAATAACTAAAGAGATATAGATAGTTATTTCCGAGTAATAAATAGTTCTTGAGGTAACAAATTTGGTGAGAATTTTTTGAACATTTGGCGTCCGCTGACTGGACTGTTATCTGTAAGTAGAATTCTTTCGTTTATTTATAATGGATGTTTTGAAGTGCAAACGATCTCAATTTAGGAGATTGTTTACAAAAGCTTTAAATGATTTTGAGAAGAATGAAAATGATTTATCTTTAGACGGAAAAATTTCGAAACTTAAATTAGTTGAGGACAAAGCGAAACCTATGATTGAAATAGAACAGACTTATAGAGAAGAATTGATTAAAATTGAAAAAGATGAAACTGTGATAAATAATGAGTTTGATGAGTCAGAATGCTATATTGATAAGTGGAGAATGGTAGAAAGCAAATTAGTTTCGCTTCTAGCTGAAAAGGAAAACGGTTCTGTTGTTAATGAAAGCTTAACTCAAAATGCTACTATATACGTTATCCTAAGCTTAAACTTCCGATTTTTGATGGGAATATTAAAAGCTGGTTAGGATTTTGAGGCCAGTTTAAAAAGATCGATAATGATCCCAATTTAGATGATCATGATAAATTTGCATATTTATTGCAGTCTATGGAAAAAGGGTCATCTGCTGAAGAGTTAATCAAAAGCTTTCCGCCCGGTGGCGAAAGTTATAGTAAAGCTTTAGAACAACTGCAATCGCGTTTTGGGAAAGAAGACCTTCTTATAGAAGTCTATGTTAGAGATCTACTTTCGTTAGTATATTATTAAAAAACTCTCAGCAGAAATTTTCATTACGAAAACTCTATGATAACTTAGAATCGAAACTAAGAGCGTTAGAAGTTCTGGGTGTTGCTAGAGATAAATATGCGGCGATGTTATATCCTCTAGTCGAATCGTCATTGCCGGATGATACATTAAGAGCATGGCAAAGATTCCGAGTTATTAATCGCAGTCAGAGAGAATCTGAAAGTAGTGAGCAAAAAGAGAAAAATGCGTCAACACATCGCATGGATTTAGATGGTTTGCTTTCATTTTTGCTCGATGAAATTGAAGGTGAAGAGAGAGTATCTATAGCTACTCAGTGCTTTACTAAATATCAGACACCTAAGCCTGGGAATGCTAAACACTTTGGTTTCAAAAACCGTGGAGAATTTTCCAAAACACCTTCTGCTTCTACTCTAATAGCAACATCTGAACAAAATTCAACTGGATGTATTTTTTGTGCTGGAAATCATGCATCTGGTGATTGCTTTAAAGCAAGAAAGATGACGTCTGAGGAAAGGCAAAAAGCAGTTCTAAATAGTCGCAGTTGCTTTTTATGTTTAGACAGAAAACATGTAATAGCTAAATGTAAAAAAACGAACATCGTGTAAGATTTGTGGGAAGAAAAACACCACATACTTTTATGTAGAAATATCCAAGCTGAATCAAAATCTCAGGTTCCTGTTAGCATGAATAAGGATGAAAATGCGGATGCAGTACCTGAACGAGATGAAACCCTCGCCAATTGGACGAGAACAACAAATGTGTTTTTGCAAACTTTAACAGTTACATTGAAAGGGCGAGATAGAAAGCGCCAGGCCCGTGCTATTATCGATTCAGCTTCACAAAGATCTTATATTTTAAAAAGCACTGCAGATGAAATGAAATTTGAGAGTACATCTAAAGAAAGATTGAGCCATTCATTATTTGGCGGGTCATGTACTGATGTCATAAACCACGATGTTTTTACAGTGTTCTTGTCTAAAACGGATGGAACTTATCATTGTAACTTCAAAGCTCTTAGCCAAGATATTATTTGTGGAAGTATACCACCAGTTGCTAATGGCGAGTGGATTCGAGAGCTTAAAGAGAACAATATTTCCGTATGCG